AGTAGATAATCTAAATCTACTGAACAGCAGAAGATAGAATTTCATGTTGAATTGGATGTACAAACAATGAAAATGAAATTGCTAAAATGTATAAACTCTTGCTAAAATTTGAAAGAGATAATATGATCTAAGAACTGGAAGTGTATAGTGTTTCCTACCTAAGCAGGGGTTGGAGTAGAAGACCTCCAAGGTCCCTTCCAACTCTGTTTATTCTATTATATTCTATTCTTTTTATTACATTTTATTACATATTAGTGGAACAGTGGGAAAACATGTGAAATGAAATTCATGTTACAATTTCATGTTACAAGAGAAATGTTATAAAATGATGTGCCATTGATATATGGCTCTGGAAAAATTATCTGAAATGAATCAATTTACTTCAAATTCATGTTGTAAATAATACACATTCTGGGTCATTTTATCATGTATGTGGGACTTGTAAATAAGCTAGAAAATTTCAGGTTTTTAACCCAACATAAACCATGGTTTAGAAATTGTAGTAGCTGATGTTGCACAGCTTGCTAAGCTTGCAAAACAAACCATACAACTATACTATTCTTTAAAGCATAATATGGACTGATAGTATTGTTATTAAGAATAAGAACTAACATAAAACATAACTGCATCTTGAAAACAATTAGTGTAGGCAAGTCCTGGAGCAAAAAGAAGGAACATAGGAATATTAAAATACTTTCCTGATTTATCAGCTTACACTGAATCAAGTAATTTTTAACCTTTGTGACTAAATTTATTATTTCTTTACATTAGTCTACATTGGGCAGAAAGTACTGGATTATTTAAATATAATTGTGCAAAAAAGCTAAAAAATTCAGATATATTCTTTTGAACATATTTAGCAGTTGGAATTTGACAGCTGTTTTTTTAAAGGCAATAGAAGAATAAATTAAAAAATTAGTCTACATGAAAATGTAATGATTTTGTGAGTGATGAACTTTACCTGCATGATTGCTAATGTAGTGTGAGTTTTATGTTTTCCATCCTGCTCAAACAAAACTGTCTTTTTATATTATTTGTTTATTTCGATTTGTATAGCTGCCTATCTCATCCTCATGACTCCTGGCAGGTAATAATTTTAAAAAATGTATGAATACTAAAGTATCAGCAGCCATGTTGTAAAAGAATTCCCCATTTTGTGGATAGGTAGCCTAGGCTGATAGATCCACAACCAACAGCATGGGAGACAGATAGCTTGACTTAGCAAAGTACCTTATTCCCCAGATAGCTTTGCTTAGGATACCCTGTTTCCCAGAAACTTTGACATGGAGGAAATTAATGTGACATGGTTGACATTGTACCAGCCCTATGTTGGGTTTTGGTACTGAAAAAACCAGAAGGGGCTTTCTGCCAGCAGCTTTTCATAGTAATAATATTAAAGAGCCTAGTCTTCTGCAAACTAAAGTTTACTTCATTGGATGCATGAAGTGGGTAGTGGGGAGAGGAGAGGAGTTGGTATGTCCTTCAATCCCTTCACCCCATCCTAGTTCAACCCAGTTTATATCTTACCTTTGTCTAGCTACTCTAAGCATCTGATGAAATGAGCTCCAGATCAAGAAAGCTTTAGTGGATGGGGTAGGGTGGGGGTGTTCCAATAGGTTTTTGACTCCTGGAAACTAGTTTTCATGGCATTGTTTTTCAGAGTGGTTTGTCCTTCCCTTCTCCTTAGGACTGAGACAGAAAGACTGACCCAAAGTCTCTCAGCTGCCTTTCATCGCTAAGGTGGGACTAGAACTCCCCATCTCCTAGCGATTGACCCAAAGTCTCTCAGCTGGCCTTTGTTTCTAAAGCAGAAACAGAACTCAGTCTCCCGATTTCTGCTAAGGCAGAAACTACACTGCTACACCACTAAACCAAACTGGCTCTTGTGCTTTTTAATAAAATATATTAGTTGGAAAAAGCAATACCAGAGTCCACTGAATTTTTAATCTGTGCCTTAAGACTATTTGTCTGTCCTCAGCCGTAATCATTTTTGCACAGATCAAAAAAAAATCCAATTTGCTGCCACCCCCTCATCCTTCACATTCAGCAGCGTCTTTGTAAATTTTAGGTTAATAAAATGTTGACAGTGCTGCTTTGCCTGCACTGACTAGCTATGGACTACAAGGAAAGGAACAGGGACTGTGCAAGCTGCACCAAGTCACTGAGTCTACTTTGTTGGCACCTCAGAGACCACAAGGTTCCCATAGCAAATCAAAGAACATTCAGCAATGCAGTTTTTCACCATGCAAGACATGCAAGACAACAGAGAGATGGAAGACGCTCCAATGGCAATCAGAGAGAAATATAAAATATCACCAAAAGGCAGATCAGAACACATGATTTGTAACCAAACTAGTTAACACACCGGGTTTATGTGTGTTTCAGTTATGCAAACCAAGTTACTGTATTATGCAAGCCCCCATCCCTTTTCTACATGCCTTGTGACAATGCAAACACACCTACGATGATCAGAACTTGTGACACACAGTTGTGATGCTATTATGTCATTCATGAAACTAGCAAAAGCCTACAGAGACTGCTGGATATATTTATGGATGAAATGTAATATAGACTGAGCAAGTGTTTCATAGTTCTGTCCCAGGTGTTACTTCCTCTCTACAGCAATAAATGAATAATTAGCCTCTTAACTACAGATGTTTTTTACCATTATAATGCTGTTATAGTGTCTTTTAGAAAATTTACCATCCGCTCTGAGCAACATAAGCGAAAGCTGAAACATGCCAATGACTTCATCTAAACTGAATACTAACACACTCAACAAAGGTTGGTGTATTAATTGAATTTATCTGAATCAAACAATTTTAATTAAATAAATAAAGAGTAACACATCTAGCAAACAATTGAAAAAAGTCTACCTTTCTTAATTTCACATGGATATCAGGTGCTGTAACTCTGCAGGGGATGACCAGCTCCTGTCCATCAGTTGTATGTATCGTTTCTGGTATATTTGTATGTAGCTTGATAAATGGGTTTTTTGTGTCTGCAATAAGAGAAGAAGATCCCAGTAAATGACATAAGAAAATGCCAACAAATACAAACAAAACCAGATGAATTACATTTGCCACTTAATTATGCCATATAGTGATTTATCTCGGTTACATGCATTAGCCACCAAAAGTAATGGAGAAAGGTTTTTATTAGGAATGCAAACCCTTTCCTGGCTTATTGATGTATTCATCTTGAATTTATTCATCAAAAAATTATGGAAAGACTTCAAGCACATCAAATATAGTGTTTCAAAAATGAATTTGAATTGAACAATATTGCATGCTGGTTAAAATGAGAGGAGAAAGGGGGGGAATCCCTTAAGTATCAAAACAACCTAACATTTTCTTTTTTAATATCATCCAAGGAAAAAGCAGACTTTTTTTTTAAAAAAAAACCTTCTATTCTGCTTTGTTTTGCAGGAGTTACAGTTATAAAAACGGGTCAACCAAGATGTTGTACCTCCAGTGAAATGTTGCTGGTTACTACTCCCTTAAGGCTCATTCATCCTTGTCACGAAATTAAAAGCTATTTTCCAAAAACAGCAAATGTTGCAAAGCAGTTTCCTGTATGTATAACCTGCAGGCCATTTTAAGTACAAGGAAGAGCTGCCTCAAGTCTCTAGACTTTATGTCACCAGTTGTTGCTGCCCATAGTGTACTAGTGGGGGCCACTGTCATCTTCTGAAGAAATGACAGGAAAGAGATCCAGGACACAAAAAAAAAACATTTTCATTCTAAGAATTAAGTCCATGATCTGGTTGCAACCAAAGGTGACAGTCGTAGATTACAAAACAGCCTTGCCTTTTTTTTGAGAAGAATATTAACAAATGTATACCTTCCACAGTGTGGTTTCCTTCTCTTTAGAAATCAGATATATATTTTTAAACACAAAGGTCTACTTTTTAGATATTTTATGTGAATGTCACAGTGTTATCCAAATTATCTATCAAACATAAGATATGGTCAAATCTTCAGGGATCTTCAGGGACACAATTCACTCGAGGTCTCCTCAGCATGTTTTTTAAAAAATCTTTGGGGAGATGGAAGCCAAAGGTGACCTATCAGTGGCCAAAGTTTTTGTCCAATTTTACTTTTCATTCTTGTTTTTGTTTTTCTCTTTAAAAAAAATGTTAAACCAATTTTAGAACTTTCAGTAAAGTTACTGTGCATTTCCTATCTATGTTTGGCAATTTCTCTGCTGAAATTTGGTGGTGCAACTACAGGTAGTTCCGGGGCTGGTATTTGGTCTGGACACAATACTAAATCATTAACTATAATTTACAGATTACAATGGCTCATTTCACAAAAACACGTTGAGCCCCAAACCACATTCCAGCTTACCGTGATTCATAAATTTGGCTACCGTTACAGTTATAGGTTCAAAACATTCACGAGTACATTTATTCACTAGTAACTCTTTTGAATTAGATTGTTCTTCCTAGCCAACTGATTTTTTTTATATATGAATCTTCTCTGTTTTTATTTGGTTCATTGTCTCTATTGATCAATCTACAGGAAGTGTTAAGTGTTTAAGTCGAGGAGAACATTCTTCCTCTCCTGCCAGATCCTGTTTCTGCATTTCTAAACATTTGTTCTGCGTTTCTAAATACTGCAACCTGCCAAAATGCTGGAAAAGCTACACCAATCGCCACCATAGGAAACAATCCAAGCTTAGTCGCAATCTTAATTTTAAATAGGTAGTCTTCCAGGAAATAATAATTCCAGTATTATTGCTGGCTCTTTTTGGCTATTCTCATAATTTTTTTCATTCGACCAGCAACTCTGCCATATTTTATCTCCATTAATATGGGCTGATATATGTAGTTATATGACAGCTGACACTGTAAATAAAGCCTGGCATAATTTACTTTATTTGATTATATATTGAAACTGATAAAATATGAAGTTGATTATTTGGGGGGGAAATGGTATACTTTTTTTCTATCACATAGATAGAAAAAAGAACTTCCTATGGTGGCATTTAAACTTTTTCTACCATTAAAAGGTTTATATATTTTTCTTAATATAAAAAAATATTCATACTTATGCTACAATCAATATCAAACAAGTGAATATTTGGCATAAAAAAACCACTTAATCCAAATTGTGTTTTCAGAAAAGTGACCGTATAAAAATGTTCATGTTACAAGTTCAGTGTAAGAAAGTAAATCCTAGAACTTTAGAACTTTCACCCATCCCATTTCCATCTGAAGCAAACTTTCTACCAAGGCAAAAAAATCATCATTTAGTACACATTCCATTTCAGAGTATTTTGAACCATTCTTTCTAAAATAAACTCATAGACTTCACTGGGACTCTTTCTGCATCAAGTCCATATTACATAAACATAAGTTACTTAGGGCTGAAATTATCTCAGAACTGGACTTACTGTAACCATCACTGACCATACATGGAGAATTTCAGATACAATTGCTGCTTCTAGACTGATAGAATTGAGGCCTTTGCACTATGATGCTGGAGAAGACTCCTGTGAGTCCCTTGGACTGCAAGGCAATCAAACCGGTCAGTCCTAGAGGAGATCAACCCTGACTGCTCTTTAGAAGGCCAGATCCTGAAGAGGCAAATACTTTGGCCACCTAATGAGAAGGAAGGACTCACTGGAGAAGAACCTTATGCTGGGAAAGATCGAGAGCCAAAGAAGAAGGGGACAACAGAGAATGAGGTAGCTGGATGAAGTCACTGAAGCAGTAGGAGTGAGCTTAAATGGACTCCAGGGATGATAGAGGACAGGAAGACCTGGAGGAACGTTGTCCATGGGGTTGTGATGGGTTGGACATGACTTCGCAGCTAACAACAAGACTGATAGATGCTGCAAGGCTAATATCTCTTGGTCAAATGGTGTTTTTTTTGTACTTCATTGTTCTTATAATTAATCATTTTCCCCTCATTTATATGTCCGTTTAAAGCATGTTATTTATTTACAAAGAATTCGCTCACATGATCCATATAAGAAATTTAAGTTGAGGGAATTTGAAACAACTGTGCTTTTGAGTTAGGTATTTTATGGGTTTTCAGATGCACCTACTATCTAAGACAAGTTTGGATTTTGCCTTTCAATATTTTAAGCTATAACTCTCATAAACCTTAGTAGAAAAAGTAAATATCAAACTGTATTTTTTGAGTGTCATGTATAAGTACTCTAATCTGAATATAGGAACTGCCTGGGTGTGGATTAAAAAAAACCTAACCCGAAAATCATCTACTGTGATTTTCCAAAATTTTCTAGTGCTTTGCCTTATGATACTAGACTCCAAAATACTTGATGAAAAACTGATGACAGATTTTGGCAAAATATTAACATTGATAGAACCAAGATTTGTAGGTTTGGTATCTTGGGATAAAGAATTTGGGAATGACTAAAGCCATAACAAATATCTTAATATTGCAATATTAAATGCACATATTATAATACAATAATAATATAAAATGATTATTAAAATCTCTTTCACATCCTTAATTAATTCTTTATACCCTGTCATGTATGCACTTATACTGATCTAGAGGTAGAGATTGCCTTGGAGTGAGCCAGACACTCCAAGTGGAACTGGAAATTACAATAATTTTCCAACAATTATGAGGTAATCAAGACATGTCTGTGAATGTCCTGTTTTCACTGTACAGTCATTCCTCCGGAAGTCTTCAGCCTTCCCACACTTTAATTAAATCTCAGTGGAAGCTTTCATGAGGGAACTGACCTTTTTCAATTAGCCAGTGGAGTGAGCAGGAGGGCTTTACAGTGACAGAAAGAGGTAGAACAGAAAAACACCCTCATCTCTACCATGAATTGCAAAATGTCCTCAAGGGAAAATTTAAACAAATTCTCAACACCCTGGTAGAAACCTGACATTTTAAGAAGTTGCAAAATAGCATTAATCAGTCATAGAGGTGCACATATCTTTAAAGGCTGTTTCATTGCAACAGAGTAAAATGTTCCTTTAGAGCATTTTACTAAGCAATGCAAAGAGGGACAGATGGTATAGTGGTTAAGGCACGGAGGACAACCAGATCCTAGTGCATTTCATCCATGGATCAGTGTTTCCCAGACTCATCAACTTGAAGTTGATAGACTTCAACTCCTAGACTTCCCCATTCAGTCATTAGTTGATGAGGAGAAGAAACACTGACTTAGGTATTTTGGTACCACTTACTCCCTCAGCCTGTCCTCTCACGGAGTTGTTGTGGGGGAAAATAGGCAAAGACAGTACTTTATGTGAGCTTGAGCTCCTCAGCAGTAGCCAGGATATAAATCTAACAAGTAAAATGGAACCTTTACTTCAAATCTACCGAGTTCTGTATTGCTTTGCTCAGACAATCAGACTTCAACACAACAACAATAGATTGATTGAGAGGGGAGATGTGCTTCAGTTAGGAACATCACTAAATTGAACCAGTTTGATTGCTTCTGAGAGGCAAAACCTTCACTAGGATCAATTGTTAGCATTCCATACACCTCCAATGTATGGAAAATTGTCAATTTGTAAGGATAGGATTTAAGCATTCAGATTAGTAAGTGTGAATGTTAGTATCAAAGATTTCTTTTTTCAGCCCAATTTCTCAAAAAAAACAAATAGATCTTCCTATCTTATAAAAGATACAACTCTATCTATCTATCTATCTATCTATCTATCTATCTATCTATCTATCTATCTATCTATCTATCTATCTATCTATCT